TTATAAATTACCCAGTCTCAGGTATTCTGTTATAGCAACACAAAATGGACTAAAACACAGAGACACATTTATTTTCCAAGAACCAAACTATTTTCTCTTGTACACAAAGCCTGTGTTCTTAGCCTTCCATTATCACGTGTCAAAATATGTAACTGAGCTCTGTTCAGGGGAATATGGACACAAGCAATGAACATGACTTTTGGGCCTGGCAATAAAAACATGTCCATGCAGTTCTTCCTGGTATGTCATGCCTGCTAGGACTGAAGTGTAGATGACCCCCCATGGCCTTGAGAGCGGTAGATGGGAGAAGGCCATCATGATTTAAGACAGAAGGAACTGATTGCAGAAAGTGGAAGTCTTCCCACTTTTATTCCAAAGCCTCTAACTGTGCTTCACGTGAGTGACAAATAAATATTTATTCTGTTGGAAAAAAAAGAAAAAAGGAAGACTTTGTTATCGACTCAACTTCTCAGTCGTTCTTCCTGGTGTCACAATGAAGAAAGCCCAGATGGAAGAGTACCTGAGGCCTGACCCAATATCATTTTTAAAGTGTAATACACATACACACATATTTGACTGATTATAAATGAATGCATATACTTCATAGAACACATGGAACATACGAAAGAAATATAAAAAAAAGTGAAACATCATCCCTAACCACATTTTGTTATATTACCTTCCAGACCTTTTCCTTTAAAAACAAGACATACACATAATACAAGGAAATAAACATAATATTTAAAAACATAAAAAATGCAGAAGCATTTATTAAGCACTGTTAACACATTTTCATGTATTTTCTAGATCTTTCTCTACATGTATGTGTGTACGTGTGCGTGCATGTGTGTACATGTGTACAACCAATTATATCAGGGTTATATTTTTTGCACGACTGGAACCACATGGTATACTGCTATTAGATGCTGATGTTATTATGAAGCCTTACCCTTCTGTGGTAGATGGATTGCAGTAAGGGTCCCAATTCATTTCAGTCTTCCTATATCTATACCTGTTGCTAGTATTCTCCCACACTCACTCTAAGCTTGGACATATGACTTTCTTTGGCCAATGGGACAGTAGCAAATATGATGACTGCAGAGACTTAGAGAGTGTTTGCGCACTGAGACCCACTCTCTTGCTGCCCTTGGAACCACGAGATCAGTGTGTGAAAAAGCCCAGGCTAGCATGCTGGAAGATGAGGAAAGACAAAGAAAAGCCCACAGTTCTCATCCTTTTTTACCCAGCACCATGCTATTTTGTATTCATTTCCAGCATACTCAAAATTGCTTCAATTTTTCTTCCTACATGTCACGTATTTTCTTTTCATTTGAATTTTCTCATCTTTAATTAAACCATAACCCCTCAAAGTAAGGACCATTCTTTCTTATACAAGTACACCAACAAACCTTTATTAAGCACTTATACACCAGGCCTTGTAGCTGGAGCAGAGGTACAAAGATGAACACACTCTTTACCTAAAGGAGCTCCTAGCTGAGTAGAGAAGATAGAACTACATGCAAATTAATGTGAGAAGAAGCATGATGATAGAAATTTGCTTTAGCAATCTTTAAAGGGCAAAAGTCAAATTCCTTTTAGATGTTTCCTCCAAC